AGGGCGGGACCCGGAAAGGAATAAGTATGCATCAAAAATCAAAGTAATAATAATAATAAACGAACGGGTGTGACTGACAACTTCACATCAATAAAAGCTTGGAAGATGCAGTTTCAGGTCTTCTTACTTCTGAGAATTGTAAAAAAAAATCATTAAGAATTAAATAACATTTGTGAAGAGACCATATTGCTGTGTGCAATGCAAAATAATCAGAAAGTGCGAATTTCAAAATTGGAGACGTTACTTACCTGACTTCCTTTCGTACATAAGCGATAAAATCGAAAGAAGTTTATTAACATTCTTTGGATCAAGTTAATCCATATCCGCAAGGGAAATAACTCATCAAAAATTATCTTTAATTAACTCCCTTGAATTTATTTTTCTAGAATCTGTAGTATATAGTTTTTATTTTTCAATACAGTGTCTTTACAGGAGTTTTCTTTTTTGTTTTACTACAGTACACCCAATGCAGAATCCAAGAAACATCCAAAGTAGACGACTGCAGAATAATATACGTGATATGAACTTCAGAGGAAGAAACAGTAAGTGAAGACTTAAGGGATAATTTTAAATACTGACCCTAGACTTTAAGAGATCGTAGTGCTCCGGGATACGCCCTTCTTACCAATGGATCACAAAGAGAATAAGGATGATTCAATCGTACGGATGTAGAAAGTCGAATATTGGCTATAAAATTCTGAGCTGCTGGCATTAAAGAATGGGCCTCCTCTGAATATTTGTCATTAGTGGCTATAGGTTTACGACGTTGCATCTAAAGGAAACTGGCTGCAGGGCGGAAAATAATTCATCACCCATAACGCTGAACTCTGTCAAGGCTAGAATATTGCTCTACAAGGCTTCCGGTTATTTATTATTTGCAAATTGCAATGGCTTCTTTGGAAAGATAGCGAACAAACTGTCATGACGTAACTTTCGCAGCATTTTTTTAATAAGTTTTATATATATATATATATATATATATATATATATATATATAGAATGGCTGACACCCAACGCGAGAAATAGATTCATGTATTTATTGGGGCCATTAGTGTGGAAGTTTATGCCCAGAAAGCGAAAATAGTTGTATATCTGAGCTAAGATATATTCAATTCACGTGAATATTTCTCTGTCTGATCTTAGGATCAAAACGTTCTTAATGTTGAAATAATAATTGATTCTATGACCATACAGCGAATATTCACGCCTAAAATAATATAAATAAGCGGTATAAGGGACGTGATTTCCCTCATACATATATATATATATATATATATATATATATATATGTGTGTGTGTGTGTGTGTGTGTGTGTTGTTAGCCACAGACAGACTGCATCATAGCTCATCTATAGATAGATTGTTTTTTTGCTTGTTTGTTTGTTTGTTTTTTTGTGGGGGGTTGTTTTTTTTTTTTGTCCCGGCATATCTGTCTGTCTGGATTGATTCCATTCCTTAAAAATATTCGGTTATGAAGAGATGAATATAACAATATTCATCAAATAAATTATAACCGATACTGATTTTTAAGGTGTTTTTTTAATTTATCATTATATATATATATATATATGTGTGTGTGTGTGTAATTTTATATTTTATAACAATTTATCAATATATATATAATTTTATCAATATAAATATATCATTTGATATATATATATATATATATGTATCAAATAACTCTTCTATTTAACATTAAGCAATGTTTTTCTTACTCTATAGGGTATATACATATAGCGATTTTCTAAGCACTGCTTAGATGTGGATTCAGGCCGGAAGTATGAAGTACCCAGTGAGGATTGAACTCTCTACTCAGTCGTAATATGTTCTAGTGAGACAAGCACGCTAACCATTACACCACGCCGAGGTGCCTAAGGCGAGGGGATATATACATATATGTATTTGTATACGAACGCTTGCTCGTCCAATTAGCTATATTTATTCATTTCATTCTCTCTCTCTCTCTCTCTCTCTCTCTCTCTGTGTGTGTGTGTGTGTGTGTGTGTGTGTGTGTGTGTGTGTGTGTGTGTGTGTGTGTGTGTGTGTGTGTGTGTGTGTGTGTGTATATATGCATGCCGAACATAGGGACTATAATAAATGGATTGAATAAGAAAAAAACTAGGAATAATCCACGTAGTAATCCTCCTACTTGTAATTGTAGAAACAAAAACATCTGTCCATTACAGGAAAATGCCAGCAAGAATGCGTGGTTTATCAAGTGAAAATTTACAAAATAGTGAGGATACTAACCCTAAAACATACATAGGTGCTACTCAGGGGTAAATTTAAAAAAAAAGATATTATAACCACACGAGTAGTTTTAAAACGCAAAATTAAACATAGTACCACGCTATCTACTTATGTATGGAAACCAAACAGGAAGATAATATAGACCCCATCCTTAAATGGGAAATATTTAAAAATGCCCAAAATATAAAAGCAGGCCAGAAATTTTGTAAATTATGTACAGAGGAGAAATTAGCCATAGCTTTATATGATCAACCTAACCAGCTATTAAACTCTAAAACTGAAATTCTTAACGTATGTAGACATAAAAAATCTTGGCTACTAAATTAGACGATCTTTCCCGTTTATTGTCATTCCACCTTGATGTTTGTTTTTTTTTTGTTGTTGTTGTTGTTTTTTCCCTCCCCATTTTCGTTGAATAAATATTTACACCAACCCACTTAGGTTTGTGTTTGTGGTTCTTTGGTCACGTGGTATAATTTTAGTTATCGCCTATAAATATGCGTTTCTCTTTGCCTCGTTAGCCTTACTTTCCCTGACGATCCGTTTAGGTGAAACCTAGGTAGGTTTGTCTGGCTCACTAGGTGTATCTAGGTCTGCTCTACGGTTGTATTGAGCTCTTTTGTTAGTTAGTTGTTACTCGTATCGGGTTTTTTTCTTTGGGCTTCAGACCTGCATCTGTGCGATTTTTTTATCGGCAGAAGTTCATGTTTGTAGCTCTTTCTTTTTTAAAACTTTTTTTTTCCTCGAGATTGATTTGATTATTAGCAAATCAAAAATTCGAGGGTTTTTCGAAACGAGTCTAGTTATCTATATATATATATATATATATATATATATATATATATATAAATTTTCATAGAAAATATAGAAAATATGCGTCCTCCGATAGGAATCGAACCTGTATCCTATACGGAAGCGTTTCGGTTAGCAAGGTCGATTTTACTGTTTTTAAACTACAATTCTCCATGATTTTCTCTCGTACATTCATATCTGCTCGATGCGTATCCAAATGTAAACAAATGATGTCACATATTACGAAATGGACAAAGTCCGACAATTATTTTAAGACATTTTTTATGTTTATACATTCTTTTTTTTATATTTCTAAAATGAGGTATTTTCATTATTTACATTATTTAAATTGTTCGGACAGTTGCCCACATCTTTATTGTCATATTTACGACGGGGATAGACTATTCTCATTCCACTGCCCATGTCTAGAAACCTTATATAGAACTACATTTATGTTGCCCCAAGTCTCATCTTCATCAATGAGAAAATTGTCCCATGTTCAATGTCATATAGGGAGAATTGATATGAGATAAAAGTTCATCATTCTTTATTTATTTTCTTTTCGAACGAAATGTTCATGTTCCTCAATACTTTATTTAGCATTTGAAAGACATCCTTCGCTAATTCCGTGGACGTTTGGATGTCTGTCACTATATTTTTTTTTTTTTTTGGTCTAGCACTAAAGCTCCCAGATAATTAATTTTCGGTACTTATTTGATTCTGACTTGTTTAATTAGGAGCTTGTCTCGTGGGTGGTTCGTCTTGAAACGGATTAAATGGACTGATTATAGATAAATAGTTAGATAGAGAGAGAGAGATAAAGAGACTTATTATGAATAAATAAAAAATGAGATAGATAGATAGATAGATAGATAGAAATGAAGATAGATATGAATAGAAGAGAGATATAGATGAAGAGATAATGAACAAAATGATATAGATAGATAGATAGATAGATAGATAGATAGATAGATTCATTCATTCATTTATTCATTCAAAGAAATTAAAACCTGCAATATTTTCTAGTAAAGGGAGGTAATTTACAAATTTTTAATTTTTGCATGGGAGATAACTCTGTAAAAGTTAAATTTTGGTTACTCCCCTTGAGTATGTAAATGTATTTTCTTTAGTTTGAGTTCTATGTTCCTGAAGAATTTTAACCCTTCTGCCTTCGCAAATAATTGGTATAAAATGTTTCATGGTAGATAAAAATATAGTTACAAAAATATAAGCATTACTAGCAGTATGGCCCGGCGTTGCCCGTGCTTGATTCAAAAATCGTATGACTCATACAGCAATCGCTATCACTTGACTTAAAATATTTTTGCCCTTCCTTGCCTTTAAAGGAGTGCCCTTTGCCATGCTGATGTTGATAAATGCCTTACTTCTTGCTTATCTCACACTGCGAATTTTTTCTAAGCTCCATACTAAACATTAAATCTGTTACGAAAAAAGAACTAAACAAAATGAGCACAAAAAGATCAGCTTTAAAAAAGGACTCGTAACTGGAAAAACCGAATGAAAAAACAATGTTAACAACAAATACATTTTCACACCCAACCCAGTTTCCTGAAATATTGAGACTGTTCATACTACTTGGGCGGGGTTATTGTTGCCCTTGTCTTGTTAACCCGGTACTTTGGAAACCATACATTGATCCGATTTTAAGTTCAAATAAAAAAAAGCTGTGTTTAAATGTTTGAGGTGAAAAGCTTAGATGTGTGGGCCACGTAGTGCAGGCAGAGACATTTTAAACCCCAAAATCTGTATCTGTGAATTAATCGGTTTTTCCAAAAGTTTGAGTCCCAAATAAAAAAAAAAAAATCGGGCTCTTCGACAAACGTAAATAAAAATCGGATGGTATAAAAACAAAAGTTTAAAGAAGTGGGAAATACTGCTGAGGGGCAAAAAGGTTTGTATCGATTTTGTTTATAAAATGCCGAATAGTGGCAGTTTCCGTCAAAAGAGACACAATCCGATGGTACACGTGACCTTGAACGTTGAAGGTGGATTCCAAACCGACTTCGCGGAAGGCATTACCACCAAAAAGAGGTCATCTGAAGGTAAATTGTTCTGTCTGATTTTTTGTGAGGAAATATTTGGAGTCTGACTGGAACCCGCCAAAATTCAACGAGCAGGTAGTTTGAAAAAAGTTGCAACCGTACGTTACCGTCTGAACAACACAAACCTGAAGACTCCAGGCCATTTCTTTTGGCATTGCAATGCCCAAGACAACTGACATGGATCCTATTTGAAGGTCAAAAAATCGTATGGCTCAGAGTTGAAATTTTAAAACGAAACCGCTTTGGTACAGAGCAATCGCTTTGCAACCTTTCAAGCCTGACTTAAAATATTTTTGCCTTAGCGGCGGAAGTTGAAATTGCATCGCGTTGCCGCCTTGTGCGCTTTTGCCAGAACTTTTCGACGCCCTGCAGCAGAAGATCTTGGCGTCGGCTGCCATGATGATGTTTTCTCAGCCATGGATTCCTGAGAAATGGACGTTTAAATTTTGCGTTACGTGGTTTGCTTATCTCTCACGTCGAATGGAAAATTGCAGCGTCGTCGGCTGAATTTTTAGCTTTTCGATGCAGGCTCTGTCGAACCGCAAAAGCTCTTGTGATGAAGCCGCTTGTTGTCTTGCAAGCGTTTACGTAGATTCTAAAACGAATATGTAAATCAGTTCAAACGGTTTACGCTTACGCGTTTCATGTAAAAAAACATACTGCCTCCTTGAAAAATGAGAGGCTCAAAAGGTTGCCCGTCATGGTATTTTGGTCTTTAAAAAGGACTCGTAATCGAAAAACGGGTCTGAGAACAATGAATTGAAAAAGGAGGCACACTTAGTTAATATTGAGACTTTCACGCTACTTGGGCATACCCAGTCGTCTTGTTAAACGGTATTAGGGGTCGGTACTCATAAACCATACAAGCCGAGGAAGTTATTATGAAAAGAGCCTTTTTCCCAACGAAAGTCTTTTTTGCAACCAAAATATGAGGAAACACTGTATTAAAGAGAAGAGAGGTAACTTGCTATGGCCAGAGTAATTCCGATAGGCGAAAACATTCAACCCGTTAAAAAGCAGTGAAAATCTGAGGTGTACTGGGCTGTAAATGAACTCTGCCGGTATGGAAAATCCATTTTTCCAGCACGAAAACGTCGTAAAGTTTGATGTCCCAAATAAAAAAGGTGTATGGGGCGAGACATTCAACTTAGGTTACGGTTGAAAAAAGTGACAATTAATTAATCGGTTTTTCAGACGTTTTTGAAGAGGTCGAAAAAAACTTTTTTTTATAGGTTAAAACTGAGGTATTTTCATTAAAACATTATTTAAATTGGGACGCGGCCTGGGAAGAAAGAAAAAAGTTTGGTAACCCAAGCGGTTGGAAATAGGACTGCTGAAGGTTAAAAAAGGCATGGTAGTAAAGGCGAGGTTTGATCGAAAACGTTTTTGAAGGATATTTATAGAAATGAGGTAATCAAAGGCATTTCCGGTATTTATTTTCTTTGGCAACGAAAACGTCGCTGTTTACGTTTCCGTTGAAGGTTAAAATTTGAAAGACGGATGTTCGTTGATGGTGGATGTCAACCGACTTCATTGAAGGCAGCACGAAAACGTCACCAAAATTTGAAGCGAGGTTTGTGGAAGGTAACTTGATTTATAGAAAAACCTCTGTCTGAGAGAGAAAAAAACGTGAGGAAATATTTGAGTCAAACTGACATCTGGATAGCCAGGCAGAAGAGAGAAATGAAGAGCGGTATGGAAAAAAAAGCCCTTCCGCCGAAGAGGTTCAAAACGTTGGAAGCGTTGAAGGTTGGGTAAAAGTGTGAAAACACTGAGGTGTACTGGGCCGCGTAGAAAGGCAGAAGAGAGGTATTCCAACCACGTTACCGAAAACGTCTTCAACCAAAGTTGAAGCGTTGAAAAAAAAGTGAAGACTCTCCGCGTAGTAAAGGCAGAAGAGAGGTAACTTGCATTTCTTTTGGCATCTGAAAGAGGTGCCCACAGACAAAAGACAGCGGTTGGATCTTTATTTCTTTTGCAACGAAAACGTCGCTGTAGGAAGAGGCTTTGCAACGGAAAAAAAGCCTCAAAACTGGCTCAGAGTTGAACGCCAAAAAACGTCGCTAAAGAGGTTACAAACCAAACTGCTTGAAGGTTAAAATAGGTGGGCCAGAAGCACTCGCAGTGCATAGTGGCGCTGCGTTTTGCAACCAGTTGAAGCGTTGAAGGTTAAAAAGTAGTAAACTTTGTACAAAAGGCAGGTAAATTGCAGCGGTGGACTTGAGTCCTAAACAAAAACGGCTGTGAAGGTTTTGGCAGTCGCTAACGGAAACCGAAAACGTCGCTGAAAAAAAAGTTTTGAAATTGCAGAGAGGTAACTTGCAGGAGCGGTATGGAAAAAGCCGTTGCCGCAACTTTGAAGTTGAAGGTTTTGTAGTGAAAACACTTGCAGTTAAACCTTTGAGAAGAGAGGTAACCAAAACGTTGCCGGTTTGCAAAAAAAAAGCTGCAGCGTTCGTCGCTGCATTAAAGCGTGCGGAGGTGTACTTGGTCAGTAAAGGCAGAAGAGAGGTTTGCTGAGACCGTCGAATGGACCAAAATGGGCCGTGCTTTCGTTACGTGAACGTTGTAGGAAGAGGTTACTCAAAACCGTTGAATGTTAAAAGTAGTTCTGAGGTGTACGTTGACGTTGCGCGCGCTGCGGGAAGAGGTTACGCAACCAAAAAAAACGTTTTGAAGGTTGTAAAGTAGCACTGAGGTTTGATGCAGACGGTAGGAAAGGTTACGCAACCAAAAACGTTCTGTATGGACCGCAAAAGCGCTTGTGATGAAACCAAAACGTGCTTTGTACAGCCGCGTAGAAAGGCGTTTGCAACGGTATGGAAAAAAGCTTCTCCTAGCTATGGGCTGGCTGGCAGCACGAAAACGCCAAAGAAACCAAAACGTTGAAACTTGATTTGAAGTTCAAACCCAGTGGAGCGGTTGGAACCCGCCCCAGAGCTTAATGGAAGGTTTGGAAGAGTTGGCAACCGTAACGTCCAAAACATACTTTTGCCGTTGAGATGGAGCTTTTGAACGAAAACTCAAAGGCCTCTAACCTGGTTTCCTGGCGCAAGCGTTTCTTGCCGGTCTGCACTGGTGGCGCTGGTTTAGTTTGCAAAACTGCTAAGGTTGCCCTCGTCAAGGTATTTTGGCGGGCCTTGAAGCTGTTGGGTCGGTCATCGCCACGGCACTCAAATGAAACACTGCGTCTTGGCGGTTTTCCTTAGCCGTAGCACGAAAAACGTGCGGTTTTTTTTAGAAGGGTTTTCAAGTGGGTAATTACCCCGGTCTGCTTGGCCACCAGGCAGAGCGCGGTTTTCATCGCCACGGCAACATTGCAACTGCTAAGGTTGCCTGTTTGTTTTGACGCTTTCAACAGAGGCCTGTAAAAGGAGTTTTTTGCGAACATCTGCTGAGGTTCAACGCCTGGGAGCGGTGTATTGCATCTTTGGGGCAGACGCTATACTTTGATCATCTGTAACCGTTGGTTTCAAACACTGCCGGGTCGGTCCTTCGCCAGTCACCTGTTCTGATGTCTGCATTGCAAGGGTCTTCAGTTGGTGACCTTGCTGTCAAAACTTGTTAGTAGCCATTTGAATAGGCAGAAGAGTTGTAGAGCGGTGCTTCATTGGTGACGAAAACGCGGAAGATTACGCAACCAAAAGAAGTTGATGCCGAATCTGAAGGGAAGTTGCCTGACCTCGTTGTATAAGAAAACTGCAATTGAAGCGGAAGGTTTTGGTGAGCGAATGGTCTCTCCTATGCTATGGGCCCCTGCTTGAAGAGAGGCAAAACTTCGCTGTGGACGCGTAAAACAGAAAAACTCAAAAAAAAGCGCTATGGAAGCCGTTTTCTGGCAGCCTGAAAACGTCGCTTTACAACCAAAACGTTAAAGCGTTGAAGGTTAAAAGTAGTGAAAACTCTGAGGTGTACTGGGCCGCGTAGTAAAGGCAGAAGAGAGGTAACTTGCGGCAACAGTTAACTGTCTAATAGCAAAACTGAACTACGAAAAGGTAGAAACAGGTATGGAACGCTAACATGGACTGGGCTGCGCAGTAAAGGCAGCACGCGGAGATAAAATGGGTAATGCAAACATTTAAACAAATAGGCAGTGAAGTACTGTGGTGTACTGGGCCGCGTAGTAAAGGCAGTACACTTCAACTTATAAAATGGGTAATGCAAACGTTTAAGAAAATAGGTAACTTGCGGTAGCAGGAAGCCGTCAATTAATCCAAGGACAGATGCGTTAATGGCGATCAAATCAGGACGTGAGTGCGGATGCAGCCGCGCTGAAGGTATTTAAAGGGAGCGTGACTTGGTGTAGCCTGGACAATGGCCATGACAGACCGATGAATGAGCTCACGCGAAATTGAAGATGCGCGCGCATGATTTGGCAAGCGCAAGGCTTGGCCGTAAACGGGGTCAAGCTGTCTGCTGCATATGCAGCTTGGCTCTAACGCACGTGATGCCGGCGATGAGAATGCAAGGAGCTGTAATGAAGCGTTTGCTCGTTTGGTTTGTGCGACAACGAAAAGCCGCTAACCGTTTGCCGGCATTAGCTTTGAAATGGATTGAGAGGAAGCCCTGCTGTTTTAGTGCAAAAACTCCTCGTCAGGTCTGGGATGCGGCCTGGGCTAGGGGAAAAGGTTTAAAGAATTGGAAAATGGACTGCTGAGGGCGGAACCATTTTCACTCAGCACGTATGCCGGTTTTTTTTCAGTAGAGACGCGAATAAAGGAATTGCTTATTTTGGTAAGATGCGACCATTAAAGCAAATGTGTTGACAAAGTCGAATATGTCATTTGTGGCTCAAAGTCAGACCTGGTAACAGGGATAAAAAAAAGCCGAATTTCAATGTCCCTGCATCCATTCCAGAATTTGAGGTCAAATGTTTTCTTTCACTCCACTGCACGCACTGACCTGTTTCTTCCCGCGCATAGCGTGACCTTAAATTAATCTGCATTTAGGAAATACCAAATTTATTGGTTGACCGATTGCACTCTGTTTGGGTGGAGGTGCTCAGAGCTGAAACTTCATATGGTGACTCCCAAAAACCGACAAGCGGTTCAGGTGCAATCTGGGCGTATCAGTTTTTGGGTTTTATCGATTTTCCGCGCTGCTTAGGGGTCCGTGGTCATGAAACTTCTGGACAACACTTCTAATGGTAGACTCTAAGATGGTGTCAAATTTGGTTAAAATGCAATAATTCCTTCTGTAAGCAGATTTTTTCGATTATCGATTTTTTCGATTATCGATTTTTTCGTTTATCGATTTTTTCGGAACCTGAGTCCGAACTTAAAAATCGGGCTCCGTCATGTCCTTACGGCAGCCATTTCCAAACTTTTGGTGAAAACTGCATCGAAATCGGGTGAGAAATGCGGCCTGGGCGAGGTAACAACGCCCACGACAGACACACAGACAGACAACATGAGATAGATAGATAGATAGATAGATAGATAGATAGATAGATAAATAGATAGATAGATAGATAGATAGATAGATAGATACTTAGCAGAGCGAGAGAGAATGTGATTGAATGCCTTCACTTTCTCCTCAGAATTCTTTCTTTGTGTGCCAGTCTACCCAGCAGGTGCTGCCTCTCTTGATGCACAAGAAGCGCTTCACAGGACAGTCTTTGTACGACACAGTTGGTTTTTTTCTGCATGAATTTATTGTATTAAACACAGCGCCCAAATTGTTAGTGGAATCATCTTCTGGGATGTGAATGCCTATATTTTGCAGGCGTTCCAGAACATTAGCATTGATTGAATGACTTCGCACTGCAGCTGGCTGGATGCACCCACCAAATCCACATAGTATTGATCTAGGAACTTTCTGAAGCTGAGGGACTTGGCTTGCTGGGGAAAGTTGCCTGGAACAACAGAATAGCAAAACACGACGCAAATGTTTACCTACCGTTCAACCGGTCATTTTTCTCTACCACCGGTAAAGCCGTGGTCAGAGCTCAAAAAGTTAACTTGCAATGACCCAGAATTTATTTGTGCTGATATTTTCAGATATAGCTATACATTCTTTGCAACCAATTTACGAATAAGACGCATTACATATATATATATATATATATTGAATGAGATTTTTTTATTAAAAATATTCCATTGATTGCATAAGATGCATTCGTGTCCAAATCTCACTTAATTTACCTATCGTTTCATTCTTTAATCCTTTTTGTTTTGTTCCAAGTTATATTCCAACTTACTCTTTTTCCATTTACCAATGTCACTGTGTTACATCTGGACTTAATGAATTATTTTAATAGTAGTAGATGGGTTTGCCTATCGTCATCTTCAAACACCTCTCCGGTCTTTTGAACAGGAGTAGAGGTCCATCCCCTGTTCGCTGTTTAAGGTCGGGTTTCCGGCTCGTCCTAAAATCATTTCATTCCGAATAGCCCCTTGCGTCTCAGTGGCATTTGTCGCTTGGTCTTTTAGGGGGGGGGGATTGAGTAAAAAAAATTACTTGATTGACAACTAGGCTTCATCATGTAACTGTTGAAACAGCTAGATGTAATTTATGTTCTAACAGTTCGTATAGCACTTCTCGCCTTCCAGCTTGTTTACTTTCCTGCCAACTACGATCCTAAAACATTTAAATTTTGCCATCTTCTGTCTTTCTAGAATCTGTCTTTTATCGACCATTCTCCTCACTAAAGTCTTCTCATTCACTTTCAGTTCCAGTAACTCACTGCGTCTTAGTGGCTTTATCGCCATCTTCTGTCTCTCCAGAAGCTATTCTTTTATTGTCCTTTCTCCTCACTAAAGTCTTCTCATTCTCTTTTACTCCCAGTAGCCCCTTGTATTTTAGTAGCATTATCACCATCATCTGTCTTCCTGAAACCAGTTCTTTTATTACCCTTCCTCATCAATCAAGTCTTCTCATTCTCTTTCACTCCTAGGACCTCCTTGCGGCTTAGTGGCTTTATCGCCATTTTCTGTCTTCCTGAATTCTGTTATTTTATTGTCCTTCATCCTCACTAAAGTCTTCTCATTCTCTTTCACTCTCAGTAACCCCCTGTGTCTTAGTGGCTTTATCGCCATCTTCTGTCTTCATGAAACCTGTTCTTGTATTGTTCTTTCTTCCTCACTAAAGTTTTCTAATTTTCTTTCACTCTAAGTAACATATTGCATATTTTATATGCTCTGACCTGGTATCTCGCCTTTAATCATTTACCACCACCATGACTTGGCTTCGCTCTGTGTTTTCTTTAAATATTTTCATAGAAATTTTTGTCATGAACTGTCCTTATTGGTACCACGAATGCATGAACTTAAGCATACTACTAGATTGGTAACTTGGTCTCATTGTTTTATCGTTAAACTAGCAAAATCTATTCGTAAGTTTTATTCTAATAATTTCTTTTCTCGAACTTCTCGCCTGTTGAAATCTCTTTCAACTTCTTGTTCGCCTGTCATAATTTTCAAAAATTTAAATGCAACATTATTCGCCATCTTAAAGTCTTCTCATTCTCTTTCACTCCCAGTAACCCTTTGCGTCTTAGTGGCATGATCGCCATTATCTGTCTTCCTAAAACCTGTTCTTTTATTTATCTTTCTCTTCACTAAAGTCTTCTCATTCTTTCTCACTCCAAGTAACCCCTCGCGTCTTAGGGGCATTATCGCCATCTTCTGTCTCTTTGAAACGTGTTCTTTTATTACCTTTTTTCCTGGCTAAAGACTTCTCATTCTCTTTCACTCAGAGTCATCCCTCACGTCTTCTGTCTTCCTGAAAAGTGTTCTTTTATTTTCCGATCTCCTCAATAAAGTCTTCTCATTCTCTTTCACTCCCAGTAACCGCTTGCATCTTAGAGGCGTGATCGCCATCTTCTGTCTTCCTAAAACCTGTTCTTTTATTGTCCTTTCTCACCACCAAAATCATCTCATTCTCTCTCACTTCCAGTAACCCCTTGCGTCTTAGTGGCATTATCGGCATCTTCTGTCTTTCTAGAATCTGTTCTTTTATTGTCCTTTCTTCCTCACTAATATTTTCTAATTTTCTTCTAATTTTCTTTCACCCTCAATAACACCTTGCGTCTACGTGACATTATCGTCTTTGTTTTGTGCGATTTTTTTAACGAATCGGCCATGCCACTTTCTCATTCTCTGCTTATTCCATTGGCAAGAAGAAATTTCTCTCAAGCAGATTCTTTCTTCTCGAGAACTGAGACTTTGTGGAACAAACTCCCGAGAAGATGCTTCCCCAATTACTACACGAAAAAATCAGGATACTTTCCAAGTTATACTTCATTTATAAATTCAAATTCCTGGCAAAAAAAAACGTCTGCTGTGATAATCGCTCCATGTTCCAGTAATAATCAACTGAAACATAGAGAGTATTTCGTATTCCATATGACATACATCTACGACCTCTGCCGATGGATTCTCGATTTTGGTGTTGACACTGGTTTCCCATTTTTGATAATCCCTGTTTTTGTTTGTTTGTTTTTCATTTTCTGTTGACATGCAAAACCCATTTTTCATCATCTGTACGAATGCGATGCGAAAATGAAAGTTTAAAAGTTTTCTATTTTAAAGTCTACTGCAGATGATGGAATGATGTGATCGATCCTCAAGAAAAACCTGATGAGGAATTAAAATTGCCTCTTTGTAGATATTCCTAATTAAATCCTGAATGCTACCGGACAAAAGAGACGATAAAATAATTGTGGACATAGTTTCCAATATTTAACTTTTGGCTTTGCCTTGGTTGGTTGACAGCAGTGAAATACGTAATTAATTTTTTAACAGCCTAAAATAAAAAAAAGCCACATATTTTGTAACCCACTCAACATACAACGATTGTCTTTTAGCTGCTAATTCAGATCAAGTTTCAAGTGGCTATTGAGTGAAAGCCTGAGGTGATAAGTGCAGTATGGATGATCAAACGTGACAAAACCTAATATAGCAAACCTATAATGCCATCGTTAAAACGATGTCCTCTCAAGGACAACTCTAGTTTAATGATATATTTTGTTTATTCTCGTAACTAAATATAATTTTAAACCAGTGATTTTCATAGCTTCACGGGTCACATTGCTCCCCAGGTGGTCCCAGTCTTCATCAGTTTCTTCCCAATTTTAATTGTCTATATTATACATATAATTGGAATTCTTCCCAAATTCCCCTGCTGCTAAAATTCTTGTCCATAGATTTTACATTCCTTTCCTGGGAGTCAAGTTCCTTCCGTTTGAGAATTAACACTTTAAATATTTTTGTGTATTGGTACTTTTTTATAGATAGGGCTATAAACAGAGAATATGAAATAATAGATGAATTCACAATCAATAAATTAAGGAAAACAGGTAAAAACTTTTTGTTCAAGATGTTCGGTTGTTTTTTTTTTTTATGATTTATCAACATTTAGCAGGTTATTTAACACCAGTTTTTTTTGGGTTTTTTTTTTAGATTGTAAGAATTTTTGAGATATAATAATGATTAACTGATACTCTTACACAGCCGCCCCACCCCTGGTGAATGTGATCTCATCTCGGCCGACGATCTCTAATCGTTTTGGTTCAGCAATGAAAGACTTCAAACACGAAGAATTTTAACTTAATTATTTTTATTGCTCATGTCATGTACATTATTTAGCTATCCAGTGGGGGTCGCCCCCGCCTCCCTGTGGTGTCGTTTCGAACACGACAGAGAACACGTCTACATCGCTTGATGGGTAAGCAGCAACTCACCGAAACCTTTCTCCTATCTCTTTCCCACGCTAGCTCAGCCAATCGAAATCGACTTCCCTATTATGACTCACATCTGGCCCTGAATGTCAACCTCCGGAAGTCGGAGCCGAAATATACTTCCCCTAAAAATAATAGTCAGCTAAATTATTATTTTAACAATAGAACACTTACTAATTAAATCATAGCTTGAGGGAGGAGAGGTGAATTCAAAAATTTCCTAAAAGATTTTGCGCGTAAGTGACTATAACGAACCTGACTGGAATTGAAACTCCGCTCTTCATCAAGAGGTTGAAGAATCTATCTACATAGATATGAACTTATTTGAATAAATAGTTTAAAGTATTTTCCAGATTGATAGTTTCTTCTCGAATTCCAAGGTCGTTTTCTTTCCGTTGCAATCCCAGCGTTCATCATTCGTCATTAAGGGTCATTAAGTTTCTGTCTATATTTCTGAGATGAGTTATTATATACACTATTTACATTATTCGGACTACTGTCCTCATCTTTGTAGCCATATTTATTACAAAGTTTCAGCCGTTGTACGCTTCGGCCTTCTTCAGGTGGTTGGAATGTCGAACTGAACACAGTGGTACAGTGGATAAAGGCGTTAGTTAGATCCAGTGACAGGACTCAAAGAGTATGAGTCCAATACCCGGTTAAGGCAGTGGAGAACTAGGAGAGGGGAATTAACAGGAGATAACTGATAACTGACATCCATTAAACATGGCACGTGGAACTAGAACAGTCTACCCCAGTGAGCGAAATAAAGAGTTCAGTTCGACATTGCAACCACCCGAAGAAGGCCGGAGCGTACAACGGCCGAAACGTTGTGATAAATATGGCGACAAAGATGAGGACTATAGTCGGAATAATGTATATAGTGTTATTAAGTTATTTCCAATTATTATGTTTATCACATTATTTTTTTCTTATACTTAATACTATCAGATTATTGCAAAAGTTCATGCCCGATTTTTATAGTTAACATAAAATGATGGCAACTTGACACTGGTGTTTGTTTAGGTGTTAATTTCAGATTTGGTTTAATATTGACGTTTCGTTCACAAATGAATGGTTTAAAAATGGCGGATGGAGAAAAAGCCGTATTATGCTATATGAATTTCGGAAACTGAACTGCAACAAAAGACATTCAGAAGATTGATTTGAATCAT